CACACACACACACACACACACACACACACACACACACACACGGTAATCATAAACAAACACTTCTCTTCATACAGCTCTTTTCATGAGCATTTGTGGCCTAAATATTTTTTTAAATTGTCGCTAAGAATTAAAATGCTGGTTTAACTTTTTAATATATCTTCATTAAATTTGCAGCCTTTTTTTTTCAATCTGCAGCTGTCAAAAGATTAGAATTCAAGCTGTGTAGAATAGATTTTTACGGTACAAAAACTGCCTTAAAAGCAGTTGATTGTGTATATAGTATATAAAGTCAGAAAGATGCAGTGATGGAATGCCGTGTTACAGGACGGTGCATTAGACTCTGGAGTCTAATAGACCTGCTCCTGTCTGCAGAGCCGAGTCGAGCAGCGAGGCTGGTGTTCCTGTGTTTGGGCGACATGGCGTCTGGGTGGAATGTACACTGAAACCTGACGCTTCATCCCCTCCACTTTCCTTCCCGCCTCGTGCCCCCGCCTCCCTTCCCCTCGCTCTGTTTTTTCCACCCTCACATGACAGACTACCGCTGGGTCCTACGCGCTCGCCTCATTACAGCGGACTTTAAACCGGATGACTCATGACCAGGGCTCAAACCCGGGCCATGGGTGACACCTGGCTTTAAAATTTAAATCGGTGCAAACGGTACATTTTAGTGTCTACGTGGTTTCAAATGTATTCACTAAAATCCAAACACCCTTTCATTACAAAACAGCCAAAAACATGGTTTTAAATTATGAATAATTCAAACATAAGACTCCTAAACTTAGAAAAGAAACCATGTTGGGTCAACACTTTATAACTTTGCAAAGATTCAATTTTAAATTCCACAAGCAGCCTCAAAGTCACAAACACRCTATTTGATCCAAATTATTTAGCTGAATGAAAAACATCAAAGACATGAAACACATGATGAAATTGTAGTTAATTAAATCCAGGCCTAATTTGGCAGTTCCGTTCCAAATTCTGTGATGCAATAGAACGTCATAAAAAATAGAGAAAACTGAACGGTTTGATAAATATGACCCAAACAGAATATAAAGACATCTACGCAGCACTGCGAGAAACTAAATTCTTATTTTCTGCACTCCTAGAGACCCCAAGTATATAATAAAATGTATTTAAGGGCTAAAAAAGTGGTTTTAAGTGGATTTTGGAGGATATGTTCCCTTTAAATAATAACAAGAAAGAGGGATTTCTTCAATCAAAACAAAGGAATGGCAGATGGTTTAAAACTTTTGCATAATGCTGTACTGTAGCTTGTCCGGCCACATTCGTCATAGTCTGTATATTGGGTAGCAAAACAATTAAAACAATAAAATACGATTTAGAAAGTCCGCATTTTCAATTGGAACTTGTTTTTCTTTGAAGTGAGTGAGATTTTCTCATTTAAAATCCTGCAAAAACAGCGGGACGTCTTTTTGTCTTCATTTATCCTAATGTTTAGTTTATTTTTCTCCAGTAATTGAAAAAAGATTCTTCTTTTTTTTTCTTCCCACTCTTTTGTTATATGACAGCTAGAAAAGGTTAAAAGCACTTCTGCAGCTTTGAAGGAGCTTTTATAGAAAACGAACGGTTTTCTTTACTTTTGTTCAACTTTGGTGACATAAAAGGTCGGCACTCTGGATCTGAAACATGCATCTGATACTAAAATCAGATTTTAAGCTTTTGCCTATGGACATTAAAAAGTGTTGAACTTGTTGTTTGTTCTGAATATTTTAATCACAGCAAAAAAATAAATATTTTTTTGTGCTTTTCCCTGCAAACACTGGGGGAGTGTAAAGGTCAACAGGCGGTGACTTTGTGAAACCCACGCTCACTTTTACCTCTCTGCAGAACAGCAGCCCACCACTCTTTGGAGGCCAAAAAAGACTTAAAAACAACACAAACCCAAATATGGCCATCTGACATTCTTTCCCAGCAGGCCATGCAACCTTTTTCCCCACCACTCTTAAAACTCTCCTCTTTCAGTAGCTCCTCCAAGTCACATCCAAAGTCTCAACACTGTTCTGCTGCATTTCACAGGCACAACCATGACTTTTACACTCTTATAGCAGCTTTACAACACAAGCAAAAATAATACTAAATAATGTGAGCATTAAAAAGACCAGCATTTATTAGAACTGACATCTCCTTCTTCACAGGAGACGATTCCAGCTGTGACTGAATCCTGGAAATTAAATAAAAATACWCAACTAAAGTTCACAAATCCCCCTCTGTGGCACACGGTCTCGACCTGCAGCTGCCCAAACCAATGCGGGTGCTTTAATTTAAAAATGTTCCACTAACATTTTATTGTTATTCAGCTCACTGTTCTTGCATTTAGCCATTTTTTTTACTAAATGTTAAATTTAAATGTTAACAAACATATTTACATATTAAATCCTATATGTAAAAGTTAAACCTTAAAGGTTGAAGTTCCAGTTTAGATATTTTAGAACGGAACGCAGATTGAGAGGTTAGTGCTTGGCTCATGTTATGATGTCATCATCCTGAGACGATAGCAACCGCTAATACAGCTAAAGCTTCCCTACAAGATATCAAAGTTATGCTATGTCTGAACTACACTTCAGTCTGCTACACCCATAGACTTAAATATCACTAGACTGAGCCCCTCCCATACCGTCCACAGGTAGCGTCTGTGACAGCATGGAGGAGCAGAAATGG